TCAGATAAGCCAGGGTGGGTGAGGAGCCTGGGGGCGCCAGCTGGGGCTGTGGCCCAGACCCTCATCAGGACTTCCCAGGGAAGGCGGCTTGATTAGACCATCGCCCCCCACCCTACTTTGTCTTAGATCACTTACCCAGCGAGTGTCAGTCCCACCATCATGCAGGAGACAATCCATGTAGTATGAGCACAGCACAGTCCCTTGGAGGATGCCTCTGGTGTCCAGGACTGTTTCTGTTTGGCATAAAATAGGAGCTCTCTCTCATCACCAGCACTGCAACACCCGAGAGACCAGGTGTGTAATCAGATATGTTTTGTAATTAAAGACAACCCCATCAAAATATTCCAAGGACGTGCCTCCAGCTGGCCTTTAGCAAAGATGACTTTCTCTAAGTTTGTGCCGTACAGCTAAAAATCTGATAAACTGGCCATTTTTCCTTAAATAACAGACGTGCCTTAAATAGCAGTCATCCTTAACCTCGGGATCCTCCTGTTTCGTGTTTGTTATTGCAATTTTAGAAAACACAGAAAAGTATAAAGCAGAAAATTAAAGCCACCCAAATAGTTTTCCTTAAATAATAATAAAGGCTCTCTAGCTAAGCTGCCCAGGGCACTGCTGGGCCCGCGTGTGGTGTTGTGACCTAGAGATGTGGGGGTTAGTCTGAATTGAGACTTGCCACCAGGGTCAAAAACACACTAGATTTCAAATACTTAGTAGGAAAAAAGGAGACTGTAAAATGTCTCAGTAATTTTTATACTAAGAACACACTGAAGTGATATTTTTACATAACAGGTTATATAAAATGCATTATTAATTTCACTTGTTTTCACCCTTGTTCGTGTCACCACTAGACTATCTCAGTGATCCGTGTGGCTGGCACTGTGCTCCTGTCGGGTGGTGATGTTCCACGGGGCCCATAACTTACTCTTTGAGCATACAGCAGTGTTCCATCAGGAGCGGGGTTTGGGGGCCCAGACCCAGAGGGGTTTCAAGGTTCTGACTGCCCAGTGCAGGGTCAGGAAGATCTGCTGACGAGTTGGTGAGCCTCCTGGCTTGTTCCATTGTTCATTTCTCCCACAATCACAGAGTTTGGGGGAAGATAGCAGCCGTCACACACAGTGTCCCCCTGGGAGATGCTTGTAGCCCGGTGACTGGGCTGCAGGAGACCCTAGGCCAAGGCAGAGGCCCCGATGCCAACCAGCAGCTTGGCACTGAGTGGTCCGCATGGACTTGGATGCACCATGAAATGGACAGCAAGGTTTTAAGGGAAAGGCCACAGGCAGCTAAACAAGACTCTGGAATGTCTGTTAGTCTGGTCATTGGGTTCACAGGAAAGCATCGGATCCCCCATGAAGATGACTAAGCCTCAGAGTGTGCCCAAGGAGCTCTGGCTTCCTTGATCTTCAGAAGAGAGGCTGTGAGATCCCACAATGCAGAGCGAGAGCCGCGTGCAGCCGGGGCCTATGATATTGGGATCACCACCTGGCCCTGGAGATGGGTCTTTAGGGAAACTAAGGGCTGTGCTGGTCATCGGCTCCAGGGGAGCCAGGCAGGTTTGTGGCACTCGGGTCCCCCCATGCCCTGGGCAAGATGGAGGGAGGCTGTTTGAGGGGAGCAGCCCTGGTCAAGTGCACACCCTCTCAACGGTGCAGGGCCACCAAGTTCCATCCCAGCTCTGTGGATTTGGGGCCTCAAGTTACCTTCAGCCCCTCAGACAGCAGGGCAGGAGGCCACGACCTCTCCTTGTCTACTAGAAGCTGCATCCAATCTGGGGCCTAATACACAGCTGGGGACAGGAGGAGCTCAGAGGAATTGTCCAGGTATCACAGATCTCTCTAGAGCTCAGATAAAGGCCATTTGCGGTCACAAGGAGGAAGTCCTTTATCCTCTGGGAGGGCACCGTGAAGGGGACTTGCCCAGCAGTCTGAAGCTCTTTTCTTTTCTCAAGCACCAGAAAGAAGAGTGGAGCCCGTGGTGCAGGGCGGCTCTCTGTTTGAGAGGAGGGGGGTCAGCCTGGCTGTGACACGGAGTTTCCACTGTCTGCCTGGACAGGGAGGCCAGGTGGGGTCCTGCCTGAGGGACTTCTGATGCCAAGGCATTCACCATCCTGAGAATTCATACTGTGACTCCCACAGAGTCACAGGGAGGAGGGAACAGTTTGGGGCTGTAGTCTATACTTCTCGCCACACTCCAAAGAAAGGACTCAGGAGGGCACGTATGTGTGAACCCACTGGCGGACGGCTGCGATTGCTGTGAGAATGTGAGTTCATGTTTGGAAAGAGCTTAGCTCCTGGTAAGCGCTATATAACTGCTAGTTAAACATAAATGGGGGAAACCTACAGTGTGCCAAGGATGAAAAGGAGAGTGCAAAAATAAAGCCAAAAAATGAGGCTGGCAGGACAGAAGGGGCCCTGAGCGGCTGGGTCCGTGGGAGCAGAACAGAGGTGTGCTAAGCCACCTGAGCCGCACAAGAAAGACTTCTGGGAGGAGGAGGCCTGGCCAGGCTGTGACCTGCCCTGGGCGTGCTTGTCAAGTTCTCGGGAATTCTCAGAGGGCAGACCTTGGGGTTCATAAAACAAATGAAGAATCTGAAAAGCCTCCTGTGGAAACTAAATATCCAGGATTCTGTTAGAGGGAAAAAAAATCCCCCCAGACAGAACTTCATGCTTTGGCTGAGCTTCAGGAGCTGGGGCTGGCTGTTTCTGTGCCCGGAGCTCCCGCCACGCTGCAGCTGGCGAGCCCTTGCTCGGCGGCGCTGACCTCATATGGAGGAAGGAAATGACAGGGGCCCAGTCTTGCGCCCACTGTATCTTGGTTATAAATTCCCCAGGCACGTCTTCCCCTGTGATAATCACTCCCCAAGTCGCTTTTAGCAGGCTATTTCCTATGCCTGTGCGTCCTGGGCTCTGTCCCCCACGGGCCACCCACGGGTATAGCCTTTGTGGGAGCAGGAACCAGTGGCCCTTGGCACTCGCAGTGGCCCTGAGTCATGGCTGCTCACTTCTTCCATGCTCCATCCCGCTCCTTCCCTCTCCCAGGGCTGCGGTGAGTCAACAACACTTATTAGGCTCCTCTGAATGCAGAGATCTCTACAGGGCAGCAAGCTGCTCTGTGTAAGGACAGTCAGTCTGAGGGTGGAGCAGGCTCAGTGACACGTCCTCCACCGACCAGTGACAGCCTGGGGCACCTGTGCATTTTTATTTTGTAAAGGGAAACCAAACCTCCTCCCTCCTTCCTACCTCTCCAGTCCTGAATGCGTAGTGTTCAAGTGTGCGTGTATGTACGTGCCTGGGTTGAACTCGTGGAGTGAGCCCCGGTTTGGGGTGGTCAGGAGACTGCAACTCAAAGCCAAGTTTGCCCTCTTGCCTGACCCTAAGCCAAGTACATCACCTCTCCAGCTGTGCTCACCTGTGAAACGGGGGGGGGGCGCTAGATCAGCCTCCTAGGTTGTTGTGAGAGTGCAGGTGAAGACTCTTGGCACCTCTGAGAGCAGTGATTCTCAAGGGGGGGACTTTGCCCCTCAGAGGACATTTGACAATGTCTGGAGACATTTTTGGTTATCACACTGCAGTGGAGTAAGTGGGTGCTGCTGGCATCCTGTGGGTAGCAGTCACCAGGGAGGCTGTGAAACATCCTCCAGGACAGCCCTCGATCACCAGGAGTGACACAGCCCCTAATGTCCATGGTGCCGAGGTTGAGAACCCCACCTTAGAACTCAGTATGAGAAGAGGCCATTGCCACAACACCCCTGAACCCAGTCTCACCAGGGCCAGCTGGGCCCTGTGGTCCTCACCCCTGCCTGGAGGGGAGGCACTTCATCATCTCATTTTATGAAAGGGGAAACTGAGGCACACTGGGTCCATCCAGTGGAGCTGGGTTCTGTTTGGGTGCATGGTCTTTTTTTTTTCTACCCTGGGTAGAGTGCCATGGCATCATCATAGCCCATGGCAACCTCAAACTCTTGGGCTCAAGCAATCCTCCTGCCTCAGCCTCCTGAGTAACTGGAACTATAAGCTCCTGCCATGATGCCTGGCTATTTTTTTCTATTTTTAGGAGAGATAGGGTCTCACTCTTGCTCTGACTGGTCTGGAACTCCTAAATTCAAGCAATCCATCTGCCTCAGCCTCCCAGAGTTCTGGGATTACAGGCGAGACCCACCCTGTGCCTGGCTGGGGTTCATGGTCTTGATCACCAGGCCCTGCATCCCTACCATTCAGGGCACCCTGTTCTGTCTCGCTCTGTAAAGTTTGGTTTGTAATTTCCCATTAAAACCCAGAGGGCCAGGTGAACGCTCAGACATGTGCCCTGGGGCCAGGCAGGAGGAACGGGAGGAAGGGAGGTGCCAAGGGGATGAACACACAGTGCTGTTGGAAAGGGCTTCCCTGCTCGGCCCCTGACAAGGAAGTTCCTCCCCACGGCCCTGCTGCTCTGCACTCTCTGTCACTCCAAGCAAACACCCCCACTGACTGTGAAAATGTCAGCAAAGACACAGGCGTCTGTCAGTGGGTGCCATCAAACAGTGTGAAGGGCATCGCCACGGCGCAACAGGTGAGCTGTGAAGCCCGGAACTTCCCATAATAAAATATACCATTTAGAATAATTAGGCGGTTTTTTTAACTAACTCACGAGTGGGGAATTAATCCTGCTGACAAAAATCTGTCCCTTAGGATTTTTAATCATGAAACTCACTGAGTCAAAAAGTAGAAGATGAAAAATTAATGCTTAACCATTTATGGAGAGGGCCCATATATATGCAGTTAGTGACTCCGAATGGAGAGAAAGAATTCCAACAAAATGACCCACAGGAGACCAGCGGGGCAGAGGACCCGTGACGAGCAGAGTGAACCGTCTGTGGAACAAAAGGGGTCCCCAAAAACTGGTCTTGACTTAGGAGATACCTTCACTTAGAGACACTCTCTTCTCCTTCCCTGTTTGGGGGACTATTGCTTTTACTTTTTGTTGGTCCCCCAAATCCTAAGATCTAAGACACCCCCCCCGGCAAGAATTCCTACACTGTCCACTAGAAAGACTTGGGGAAAGGGGCAGGTGAAAGGAAACAGAATTTGGGGACAGGAGCCCAAAAAAAGGGAATCTACTGGAGAGGCAGGAGTAGCGTGTTACAGGCAACCAAATGTCTTGAACCTGGCTAAGGCGTGAATCGCAGAAACAAGAGATTAGATACCATTTGTCTTCAGTAAAGCAACAGGGGGCGCTGTCCGTCCAGGAGAAGGTACAGTGCCTGAGAGATTGTCCCCCCACTGGACAGCCCCCAGAGGGATTTGAGCACTAAGCCATAAGCGCTAGCCCAGCCCTAGAGCCCTCTGAGGTCAGAAGTGTCAACTCAATGTTTAGGAACACCAGTATATCCAGAATGGACTAATTATATTTTTACTCTATTTTTTCACAAATTATACATTGTGGAATTCTGGAAGATGCTTTGCCACTTGAACATAAATTTATAAAGATAGTGCATTAGGATTACACAATACTGGTTGTTTACCAACAAGGATAAGAAGATAAAGTTACATAATCTCTCTGCCTGTGGACTTCTCCAGCCCTGAAAACTTGAACTTTTAGGGGCAAAGGCCATAGAGGAGTGTTTGCAGTGAGGGTTGAGCCAGCCTTGGGCACTTCTCCATACCCACTCATGCTGTCCAAGGTGCAGACAAAGGGTCCTTTAAGATCACTCAGCACCCACTGGCACCACCAGCCTGAGGACTGAGTAGTCTTCTTACACCTCTCCAAGTTCAAGGAATTCACAAGCTTGTGCCTAAATGGGGGAGTCTCACAAGGCACCAGGAAAGGAGAGATCATGACAGTGACAAGATGACAGTGGTAACAATAGCAGTCACCATTGCTGAGCCTAGCAGAGGCTCTGAGGCTGAGGAAGCCGCAGGGCTGGAGAGTGCCAGTGCTGGAACCAGGCACCTCCCATGTCTGCCTCCCATCCCCTTGACTCCAGACTCGCTCTCAGAACCACAGTGTGCCTGTGACCTCATGACTTTGAAAGGCAACTTATATTACTCCATGATTGCTTCTATAGGTCCTGAATGTTCTTAAGTGGCCATTTGACAAGCAATTATTATTATTATTATTTTGAGACAGATTACTATGTCGCCCTCAGTAGAGTGCTGAGGCATCACAGCTCACAGCAACCTCAAACTCTTGGGCTTAAGTGATTCTCTTGCCTCAGTTGCCCAAGTAACTGGGACTATAGGGACCTGCCACAATGCCCAGCTATTTTTTGGTTGTAGTTGTCATTGTTGTTTGTCAGGCCTGGGCTAGATAAGAAGCCACCAGCTCCAGTGTATGTGGCTGGTGCCCTAGCCACTGAGCTACAGGCGCTGAGCCATGACAAGCAATTATTGAGCACCACCTGTATGAACCTGGCCGAAAACCCAGTGTAAAATGAAATGGAGTCGAGGAAGTGCTGCAGTGGAGGTTCAGGAAAGTTCTTTGGGCACAGAGGCAGAATCCAGGATGACCCACAGCAGGAAGTGGCATCCCCTGCACTGGTGAAGAACTAACAGGACAACAGGAGGTGGGGAGGGCTGCCAGCATGGCCCCTGGGGGCTAAACCCTGGGGGCCTGCCTCCTCCTCTTCTTCCAGCAGGGATGGAGGGGTAAAGACCTACCATGTGTGGGGATGGGGAGGGGACTGTAGGGTCCTGGAATGAGAGTTCAAAGGCCAGGTCCCTCCCTCAGGGAGGCAGCAGAGCCTCCCGCAAGCAGTGGAGGCAACTCTTGCAGTAACCTTACTGGCCTCAGAAGACAGGGACTGTTCCTGGGGCTTCCTAAGCCTAGGTCTCCCTCTGCAGAGCGACATCTGGCATCCCGCCCTGGCAGGTGTGGGTTTAGATGAGAGGATGATACTCCCTTACACGGTGTGTCAGGGATTGCACGTGGTCACAGAAGGTTGAGAGCTCCACAACCCGGCGCCAGGGTAACGCCAGTGGGCTCCAGAGAGAGGATTCCCCAGGGGTGTCCTCCTGCAGGGGCAGGGGCAGCTGGAGGGGCGGGTCTGCAGGAGCCAGCAGAGGCAGCCTGGAGGAGGTGAGGACAGACATGAGTGACAGCAGTTTGCAAGGGTGGAGGGCCAAGAGGGAGGGAGAACATTCCCGACTTCAGTCTCTGAAGCTTCTCTCCCCTGCGGAGGTGACCCACTACAGAATTGTGGCCACTCGGAGACTTTTATTTAAGGTAGAAGCTATTGGAAGTTCTCCTCCTCTCCGCCTCCCCCTATGAAAACCCTTTCCACCCTCAATAAACCCAAAGGGGCACTTTCCCCTGGTTAAAAATAAAACTTGGAGGGGGCCCCGCAGGAATGGAATCCTTTCTTCCTGTGTTTAAATTTCTACGGAAAATCTGACCCGCGTGGCCGCCGCCCCTGCCATAAGCGGGCGGAGAGCGCTTATATCTTTAAGGAGAAGAAAGTCAGGCAGCGTCCAAGTTCCCAACCCGCCGCTGAGCCGCCCGCGGGACTAGCAGCCGGCGGCGGCGCAATCGGCCCCGGGAAGGGTGGGCGCACCCGGCGTACCCCTCACCACGCACCACGCGGGCCGGGCGGGCGGGGGGCGACTGGGAGAGCGAGAGGCGGCCACGTCCCTGGGCCCGGGCGCGGGCTGGCCCGGCCCCCTGCGAGCGCGCCGCGAACGCTGCCGTCTCCGCTTGCAGAGGCCGCCGGGGCCGTGGATGGGGAGGGCGCGCCGCCCGGCGGTCCCCACGCACAAGCAGCCACGATGAGGGTCAACGAGAAGTACTCGACGCTCCCGGCCGAGGACCGCAGCGTTCACATCGTCAACATCTGCGCCATCGAGGACATAGGCTACCTGCCGTCCGAGGGCACGGTGAGTGCGGGCGCCCGCGACCGGGGCGGGCGGGCCGCGCACCTGCGCTGCGCCGCTCAGGGAGGGAGGGAGCTGGGCGGCGGCGGGGCCTCCCGGGACTCCTGGGCGTAGGCCGGGCCCTCTGCACGGAGTCGGAGGCGCCCACCCGCGCACGTGTGCCGCGGAAAGGGCGCGCTGGCCCGGGCCAACTGTGTGAGCTCAGCCGGCGCTCTGCGCGTCCGGGGCGCGGCGCCCACCCTGCCAAACACGGCGCCCGGGTCTGGCATGGCAAGCCATTCCAGGCTCTGTTGGCGTCCCTGCTTGCAGCCGCCTCACCCTGGGTCCAGAGCCTGAGCGACAGCGTGTGGCTGAGGCCTCGGGTGGGACCCCACTCGTCCTGGCCCAGAGCCAGGCGTGCCCGCCCGCCCATTGGGGTGGCTGGAGTGAAGGGTGGGGATCTTGGGCTAAAGCCAAGTTGGTGGTCGCTCCAGGAGAGTGGTAGCCACCAGGCCCCACCAGGCATCACTGGGCAACACTCCCTGGGGCCCTTGCTTGGGGATGGGGGGCCACTTGCCAGAGGCGGGAGTTGTGCCCAGGGCACTGGGCCCAGCCCGGAACTCTCAATGCCTGGGGCAGCTGGCCGGTGCCTGGCAGTCGAGATTGCTTTCTTCACTGACCCCAGCCTCTGCTGGGCACTGAGGCCTGGTTCAGGTGGTGGCCAGGGTAGGGACACTAGTAGGGAGCCAGTCACATGATTGGGATCCCCAATCCCAAGGTCCCTGGCACTCCTACCACCCTCCCTCGGGCCATACCCAGAGGTGATAGGGATCCCGGGATGGGAGAGTAGAATTCACTCAGGAGGGGTTTGGTTTGAAGGACAGAATTTGTCTGAAGAAGATGTGAACTCACTCATTCTTGGGGGGAGGGGTCAAGGGGGCAGTGCTCTCTAGGACCTAAGAATGTACAGAATCCCCTCCCTTCCTCCTTCCCCTACTGACCCCCAAGGCTCCTCCTCAGCACCAGGCCCAGCTTCAACCCCTTAGGGATTGCCTTGGCCTGTCTTCTGGTCTTGGGGCCAGAGGGCCCTGGAGGGGGTACGCCCAGAGACATGTGGGATGGAGCAGGGGCAAGGATCATACTTTGGGGCCCGGTGTTCCAGGCAAGGCAGAGACTCAGGCTTTCCTCAGGCCTTCCACTCCTTGGGTCACAGTGGGGGGCTCTGGGTGGCAGTGAGGGACTCCTAGGGAACAGAGCTTGCAAAGAACTACAGGGGGCAGAGATGGGGGGGATATGCCTGGGACAGATAGGATTAGCCCCAGAAGCTCAGGGGTCATTATTTGAACAAAGCCATAAGCTAGACTATGCTGGTCCCTGGTCACCCACAGAGAGTGAGATAGGGAAGGCTCTGCCTGTCTGGAGCTCACTTAAAGAGTTGGGGTGGACCATTCCCCCATTCCCCACGACAGTGACAGACACATTCCCATAGTGCTGGGCCAGTGAACTCTTACAACACATGGGGTAGATGCTGTTATTATGGGTCAATAAACTAAGGCCAGGAGGGACAGAAGACCTGCTCCAAGTTACCCACCAGTTGACAGGACAGCTAGGAAGAGCCTGAGATACAGGCTAGCTAGCAACAAGAAGCTTCTGGAAGAATGGACATTCTGGGGAGGGAGCTAGTTATACCCATAAGGGGTAAGGATGGGGGTCTTTCAAAGAAGTCACATATGTGAAAGCCCAAAGGTGGGAACATGGGACACCAGTTCGGAGTCACAAGATAATGGTGGTGGCCAATGTGATACAGAAATGGAGGTAGACTGGGTGAGACGCGGCAGTGAATCAGATGTACAATAACAAAGAGAGTCCTGGATGAATAGCCCCTGGGCTTTGGGGTTTAGTTCAGGGACCCATTGCTTATCCAGACTCAGAAATCATTGGTCCCCCCACCAACCCAGGAGGGGACTGCAAAGTTTGTAAAGAGGCAGGTCGGTCCAGAAGAGGCCATGGACTCTACTTCGCACTTACTTTATCTTGTGGGCACGGAGGACTGTGACTACAGGAAGGAGAACATGCTGCTGGTGACATGGGCACAGATGGGTGCAAGCAGCACTCTGGAGCCAGGCCGTGTGAGTGCAGGGCAGGCAGCATGGCAGGGAGCACTCCCAGGGCATCCCCGGTGTGGCTCGAGCCAGCAATTGTTGCTCAGTCATTGCCCTGAGTCACCCAAGGCGGCTCTGTACATGGGAAGGCCAGAGGGCGTGGGCTGCAATTCAGAAAGTTCCTGCTCCATTCCCAGACCACATAGGAGCATAAATCAGCCACAGAATAAGCCTGTCCCACCAGGCTGCCAGGCCTCTCCTCTCTCTACCACCCCCCAAGTTCAAGGATGAAAATCACTTCATTGTTTCTGTACAATAAGGTATAAGGAGAAATGACCTAAAAGCCAGAGGCCAGGTTGGATGCAGTTTATTTCATTAAGTTTGTTTGTGTTAATCTTTGAGTGTTTCTACTTCCTTCCTTCAAATTGGCGGTTGTCCGTGGCCTGGGATCTGTGTGTCCCAGACAAGCCCAGACAATCGTGGAGATATCTGCTTCTCTAGCCTCTGCCGACCTGCTGAGATAAGAGCATTTCCCTGTTTATCTGCATTTGGAGGTGATCTGCTCATAGATGGTGGAGTGTGCCCAATAATCACAAATTGATTTATAATAACCTAATTTTTAAAATTGGGGGGGATAAAAATAAAGTTTAAAAATAATGTTCTATAATTTGAAGAGTCCCAAAACCAAAAGAAATTTTGCAGGTCACTGATTCCATTGCCCCATTTTCAGAGAAGTGAAGGTAGTGGATTCCCTAGAGTGACTGCAGTATTTCATTCAGATGTGTAGATTCAGTTCCAGGTGCTCCAGCTCCAGATAAGAGCTGAATAAACCAACTACACCCCAGGACAGCATCCCAGCCATAGACACACGGCTCCTCCCCACTCTTCTGCCCTTTCCCAGGAGTTTGGGGTGGGGGCCAATAGAGGCAGGTGTGGACCGGATGAAGGCTGCCCTCCCACTGCTTGTGGTGCCCAGGACAGAGCTGCTGTGAAGGGCCTTTGTCCCTGATGTTTTCCTGTGTGACCACAGGAAGTCATTTCTCTCCTACCATTTTCCTATCTTCCTTGAGGAAGCTCTTCCAGGACCATTTCCACTCCCCCTCACACACACACACAAATAGGCAGGGTGTAATACTCCAAATACTTTCAGATCTTCCATCCCACATTCTGTGCCCACCGGAGTCCTGTGACCTACATCAAGATTTCTTGTCTACCTCTCACAGCTGAGAAGACTGAGGATCAGAGTATGAGGGGGTGGGGTATGTTTAAGTGCTGGGCTGGCTGAGCCTCAGCTTCTGTGTCCTTGGATCTGATGGCCAATACCAGTGACAGTATGCAAGACCAAGCCCCGGTCACTCATACATGCATTCCTTCTGCAAGCACAGACTTGGTGCCAACCATCAGATGAATAAGAAATCCTTCACCAGGCAGTGCCCGTAGCTCAGTGGGTAGGGTGCCGGCCACGTACACCCAGGCTGGCAGGTTTGAACATGACCCGGGCAGCTAAACAGCAATTACAACTGCAAAAACAACAAAAAATAGCCGGGCACTGTGGTGGGCACCTGTAGTCCCTGTTACTTGGGAGGCTGAGGCAAGAGAATCATTTAAGCCCAAGAGTTTAAGGTTGCTGTGAGCTCTACCGAGGGTGACATAATGAGACTCTGTCTCAAAAAAAAGAAAAAAAAAGAAAGAAAGAAATCCCTCACCCTCAACAAAGGTGCACAAGGGGTCGCCTCTCCTTTCTTACCAATACAGAAGAGAGAACATTCTGAAGTTCTCCAGAGCCTTTGCATTGGGAAGTTCTGCATAAGGTTGAACCCACATCTCTCCCACGGCAATTTAAATCCTGGCCTTTTTGTCCTATTCTAAACAAGAAAAGCAGCCACTCCACTGTTCCATGGGAGGGCCCCACGAGACCTCCATGGTCCTTGCTGCACATCCACTGGCTGTCCCCAGGCCCAGCTCAGCACTGCTCTCCAGACCATGGGGCCCTCCCAGACCCTGTGGAGCTGAAAGAGAGCCCACACTTTCTGTTGAAAGGTTGCTGACCACTTACTCTTACTCAGGTAGGCTCTTGCCCATTTTATAAAAGTAAGGCCTATACAGATCACACAACTTACCTCAGTCTCACAGGGGGCCAGGCCCTGGAACACTCACCTGTGCTTTGTGCCGCCTGCTGCTGGTCCCAGCATCACACCCAGCTCCTTTTGTGAGTTTTTGAAGTCTGTATTTGGCACTGCCATCATCTTTCACTGTGGTCCACTCTGACCATGAGATTATAGACTGTCCGTCCCCTAGTTCCTTATCTGTGTATCTATCTCCGTTCTCAATTAGAGCAAGCTCTTGTCTCGGACTCGCTATATAGAGTATATGCCAGGTCCTGATGAAAACTCTTCACAACAAACACTGACACATCTAATTCTTCCAACCACCTTATGAGGGAAGTCTCATCATATGAGGGAGGTCTTAGGGGATGCCAGGGGGCAAAGAGATTCGGCTCTGTGCCTGGGTAACTCAGCTGGTGAGTGGCAGCTGGTGGTCCGAGAGGGTGTCCACTCCTGTCCTGTATGGTGCCTCTCCCTCCACTGTGTGTGGGAAGTTAGATATTTCTGTTTTCCCGAAGACTATTAAGCCTCTGAGGGGAGGTGTGTTCCTTGATAGGGCCCATTGGCACATCCGTGCTGTTGTTCATGTTGAAGCTGGTGACCCTTCCTTTCTCACCTGGGTGGAGAATTGTTGGCCATTCCCTAGGGTAGTCTTGCTCTCTGGCTTGTGGGACCATGTTGAATTTCCTTCCCTTCTCTAAGAGTTTATTTGCCCACCAATATTAGCCATTATCCCTGCCTCCAGGGGTGTTTGTGGTCACCCCACAGCTACTGAGTCCTACTGGGTTCTAGACAGAGGTATGTTAGGGAAAGTCCCCGGCCAGGCCTCAGGGGTCCTGCCGTGTGGTTTCGGGACCACTGTGTTAAGAATGTGTAGGTAGATGGTTAGAGATAGTCCTAGCTCACGGAGATGTGCTTGGGCCAGAGTGGTCAGTCACCTTTGGATCTGGGAGGGTGGGCAATTTGCCCCATGGCCTGAAAACCAGGTGAAGGGCTAAGAAGAACAGGGGGTAAATGCAGGGAGGGGCTTCTCATGTGCAAGGCAGGGACCTGGATGTCCCATCAGGGAGGATGACTCCCACGTAGGCCCTGGGTGAGGGCTGAGGAAGCTGGGGGGTGATATAGCAAGGGTACAGGGGACCCAGTCCACAGGCCTCCACTCAGCCTCACAGGACATAGTTCCCCATGTGGAGAGCAGGGATGAGCTCCTGCTAGAGAAGCTGAATGTCTGGCATGCCCAAGATGCTGGCAGGTGTGCCCTCTGCCTGCTCAAGACACCTGCCTACCTCAGTGTGACCATCTCCTGCCTATGCCAGTTCATTCCCCCAGCATGGACCTGGGTCATCCAAGGGCAGCCTTCAGGCCCAGCTCTTGCCCAGGAGGAGAGGGTGTGAGGAGAGAAAAGCACTTTAGCTGCCATATCCCTGGGCCCCTGTGGTTCTCCTGAGATACTGAGCAGAACAAGTGTCTGCACTGGTGGAGGTCAGGGTGACGGGGATCGCCCTCAGGTACCTGGCCTTGGAATCTGGGGAATTCCTCCTGGCATGTTCCAGACATGTCTCATGTCTCTGAGCTCAGCAGAGACAATCATCAGCTCAGTAATCCTCCTGGCCACTGGGGAGGCACCTATGTTACCCTCCCCCCTTGTTTGACAGAGGCAGACCCTGAGGCTCAGAGGGTCAGGGACCTCACCTGGCCCTCAGAGCTGGAGCGAGGCCAAGCCCAGGTGCAGAGCCAGGTCTGGCCAACGGCAGGGCCTGCCAAGAAGCCACCGCCTCGTACTGTAGCAGCCTACCTCTGCCCCGTCTGTCCCTGACAGGCCTGTGTCCTCGCATTGCCCAAACTTACCCACCTGCGAGAACCTGCTGCTCTCCCAGCCCTGCTTAACCCCCACTCCAGGCTGGCCCGGAGCAGCAGGGACAGAGCTGAGGCTGTACTCTCTCTGTGTCCTCCAGCACCTGAGCCGGAGCCCTGCCCTATGGTCATTCTGTGGAGTTGGGCCCAGAAATTGGGCAGCTCACCAGAATGAGCCTCAGTTTCCCTCCCAGCAAATTGAGAAGAATGGCTCTTCCATGCAGAAGCACCGTGCGGCTCCAGACGTAAGATGCTGGAGTCTTCCCTGTCCTGTCTTTTACCAGGCTGGATGTGTAACTGTGCTGCCTCTGAGCCCTTCCAAGGATGCCCGCCCCCTATAGGTGTGGTGCTGGCCTGGAAGCACCCTGCAGACATATGTAGTGGTGAGCAAGCTGGGCAGAGCGTCCACATGGCGTGCAGGCCCTCCTGGAGTCGCCAGCATGGCTGGCCCCCGCATGGTTGCAGTTGGAGCCTCCCTGTCCTCCCCCTTAATGCTGAGTGTTTGGCAGGGTCTTCAACCCTCCAGCTTCCTCCATGTACTTTTCGGCTGTCCACAGCCCACCACCATCACACTGCAGTTCCACTGACCACATGGGGAGACCTTCCAGGCTAATGAGACCCAGGCACACCTCTTTTCACCGCCCATGGGTGTTTGGGGCCCTGCCTGGGAGCTGCATGCCAGTCTCACAAGTCATTGGGAGATCTTGTTCTCAAGATGCCCCGTGGCGCTCATGGTGGTGCAGGGAGCATCTGTCCATAGCTACAGGGACCTGAGATGGAGACCAAGTGGCCAGGCCCAGGGCAGAGGCTCAGCCTTAGGGACTGTTACCCTCTGAGCTGTTTATTAGGCTCCATCCAGCAAGGTTTTATCTCTTTTTCTAATTTCTGGAGCCTGGCTTGCTGCTTGACCTGTCTGTTCTCCATAACCAGCCGTTCTATACTTTTATCTCATTGGGCTTTCTGGAGTCCTTCTGACAAATAATGAAACCAAGGATGGACAGACCCTGTCAGAGCCTACCCCCACCTCGTCACCCCGGGGGACTCCCCCATCCATGCCAGTGGCTCCTTCTCTGTACCCAAAGTGGCCCCTACACAAGCACCACATCCCCCAGCCAGCGAGGGGCTGGAACAGTGCCTGACCACCCAGCTTGTTCACCCTCTGGGTGGGGTGTGCTCCTTGAGGTCACTCCAAGGGTCCTAGCAGGATGGAGTCCAGCTGCCCATGGCAGTGACCGCTGGTTAACCCGCCTCTATCAGCCTGTCCTGGCACCTCCAGTCCAGCTCCCAAGTAAAGTACTGAAACCCAACCCTTCCCTCAGGGTCTGATTTTGGGAGAACCCAGATGAAGACAAGTAAAAGCCTCTCTTCTGGCCACAAAACTAGTTGGTGGCCCTGCAGCCACCTTGACATGATGCTGCCTTGGACAATGACCACCAGAGTTTGATGTTTGTACCTGCAGAAGCCATGCGTGGCTCTGGCCTGCCTGAGACCCTGTATGGGGAGGCCTTCCTAGAGGGGTGTTGCTTGGCAGCTTTTGCAATAGCTCTTCTCAAGCAGCCAGGGAGGTCACTCACACCCAGCTTGCCCTAGCTCTGCCATCCCTCTGGGTGACAGTGTGGGAGATTGGCAGTGACCGTGTCCTTTTGGAGTGTCAGCTCCATCAGGGCAGGGCCTGTGTGCTGTGCTCCTGGCTGAGTCCCAGCCCCAGGACAGTGCCCAGCACAGGGCAGGCATCAGTGAGTATCAGCTGGATGAGGGAGCGAGTGAATGAATGAAGTGGACCCGTTGATGCAGGCTCCCTGCGAGGGCCGGGCACTCACAGCTCCATAGTGAAGGGATCTCTTTTCCTCCACCCTCAGCTGCTGACCTCCCTGTCCGTGGACCCAGATGCCGAATGCAAGTATGGGCTGTACTTCAGGGATGGCAAGCGCAAGGTAGACTACATCCTGGTATACCATCACAAGAGGGCCTCGGGCAGCAAGACGCTAGCCAGGAGGGTCCAGCACAATGACGCTGGCCTGGGGACACGTGGCGCTAAGCAGGACCAGCCCCTGCCTGGAAAAGCAGGCCCGTTGGAAGCAGGCCCGCCTGAACCCCCAGTGGACTACCACGAAGATGACAAGCAGTTTCGCAGGGACGAGTATGAAGGCAATCTCCTGGAGGCCGGCCTGGAGCTGGAGCGGGACGAGGACGTAACTATCCCGGGCTTGTCGGGGCGGGCAGTGCTGGCCAGAGCTCTGGGGGCAGGGGGCAGCAGTCTCGTCCTAGCTTTAAACTGTTCTCAGACAGAGGGCAAGATGAGAGTGCCTCCCTTGTCATGAAGGTGGGGCAGAAATCGTTTGTGAACAGCTTTGGAGGGCTCCAGACCACCCCTTGGAGTCACATCTGCTCTGGGAGAAGGGCTGGCCTTCACAGCGGTCACCCACAGGTCAAAGCACTTCCTGCTTCTGGTCACTTCCTCTCCTGGGAAGATTTGCCCACGCAGAGGGAGGACTAAGCTTCCTGGGGGTCTCCCTGGCTGGCCTTGACCCCTTTCTGGACCTCAGTTTCTCAATCTAGAAAGTAAGCAGATAGGTCTGGCTGACTCTGGGGGTCCCTGATGCTCTGAAATCCACATCTCTATAACCCTGTTTTCTGGATCTTTTCTACCCTAGCAAAGCCTAACAAACTTGCTAAAAGAAAGTTTCTTTCTTTCTTTCTTTTTTTTTTAGACAGAATCTCACTTTGTTGCCCTGCGTAAAGTGCCATGGCATCATCATTGCTCACAGCAACCTCAAACTCTTGGGTTCAAGTGATCCTCTTGCCTCAGTTTTTCTATTTTTAGTAGAGATGAGGTCTTGCTCATGCCCAGGCTGGTCTTGAACTTCTGAGCTCAAGCAATCCACCTGCCTCGGCCTCCCAAAGTGCGAGGATTACAGGGCTGAGGCACTGTGCCCAGCAGAAAGAAAGATTTCTGAAGAGAATAGAGGGTTGACACACCTCATGTGCCTGAGGGCGTGGCAGTGTGCAGAGAAGGGTTTTAGCACCCGGACGTGGCAGTGCTTGAGTTGAGTGCTGTGTGCTCCCCGACCACATCTTAACCTCTCTGTGCACGAGAGTGCCGCTCCTGAATATTGATGAAAATCCCCCTAGTCTAGACAGCTCTCACTGTGTAGATTAGTCAAGAATCAGCAAAAGTCTCAAAAACACACGAAGAGCAGAAAAAGTAGTCAGCAGGTTGACTTAGGAAACAACCAAGTCAACTTTGAGCGTTTAAAATATAAGTTGGCACCGGTTTGCTGTTTCGTCCACAGGGCCCACTGTGTCCTTAAATGATGAATGCTTTTGGTCAGTGGTTAGAATGCCTTCTGAATATCCAGACCAAGGAGCCAGTTAATTAGGGAACTCAGGTTGTAAAGTCTGTTTTGTGATATTACTTCCCCTGGAAACAATCAAGAACCCCCATAGATCCTCTTTCTCATTCAACAGGATGGTCTCTCTGGGTCTCTGTTTACCTTCTGGAGCTTGGGCTCCCTGGTGGAGGTTGTGAGTCCCACATAGCAGGGGTGGCTCCCTTTGGAGTTTCCAGAGCCTGTGAGGGGGCTTACAGGGTTTTGAGAATCTGGAAGCAAAGGTTCCATTCTAACAAGGATTCCAAGAGTTTCTCCTGATTTTGAGGGAAGTAGCTAGAAAACAGGTATTTGCTGTCTTACTTGGTCTTAGACTTCAGCAGGTGCCACTGACAGGAGACAAGCACTTGATTCTCCCTGGCCAGCCCCATGGATTTTTGAACAGTACTGCTACTGTGCAGAGTTGATTTCAGCACATTATTTTATAATGGAGGAGAGGATCAGCTCTGTCAGAGGCAGGAGAGGCTAGGGGAGCTCTGTGGCGAGGCCTCGCCCTGGGAGCTGAAGCCCGGAGAGCTGTGATTTTGAGTTTCAGGCGTGGTGTGCCTTGTCTGTGCCACGGGGGATTTGCACACTATCGGTGTCATTCTCTCCTGACTACAACTTTCAAATCTCAAACTTGACAGGAATCTCTGAGGTCTGGTAATTCCAGCTGACTCAGGCCAGATCCCAGGCCTACCTGTCCTTACCAAAATGCCAGGCCTCAGTTTTCCCATTCTGTAAAATGGAGATAGCAATAATGTCTACATCACGGGGTTATCCTGAGTCACCCCTGCAAAGTACTTAATTCAGAGTATAGCATGTGGCAAATTCTCCTTGGCTGATATTCTACCACGTATTATTGTTCATACTGAAGTAGGGACAGCAGTGCCCAGGAAGGAGAAAAGGACCTTGCCAAGTCTAATTTCATACTGTCATGAATCTCTTTATAAAAAAAAATTCATATTCTCTATTGTGACTTTGAAATAAAAAGCAAACATGAGGACATTTGTTACTGTCATCAAAAAAGATCCAGGTTTCCCAGTGAAATGACCTCAAAATTTCACTGACAATTCAGCTTGAGAGCTAAAAGAGGCTTTTCAGCTGTTAATTTGGCCATTAAAAAAAAAAAAACCGAGAACATGACTGCAGCATAGAGGCGGTGGTTCAAGTTTTCAAAGTGGCTGAAGTTGAGATGTTTCCTCGTCACCACGGGAGTCTCTTAAATCATAAACTGTGTTTTATGAGGGCCTCCTGGCACCCTGAGCTCTCATCTGAGATGAACTGGCCCCCAAGGTTGTTGGAAGGAGCCCTCGTTGGGCAGCTCCCAGAGACGGGCAGGGCCAGAATCTATTAAAAGGCTGTCTGGCACATGTGGCGGGTGGTGTCCGAGGTGTGCGATTAACAGGCGGAGCCGCTGCGGCTTATTTCAGGGGGAGGAGAGGCTCTTGTTAATAACTTTCCCCAGGCGTGTGCTCAGGTTACCAGGAGCAAAGAGTTTGCAATTGTGAAAATAAGATAGCCTGTAAGTCTAAGAGAGCCCAGCAGCACAATCTTACCCAATTTGAAGCAAACCTCAGGGTTGACATGTGCTTTCCTGGGGAGAAAAAAATCCACAGACTCTATCAGATAAGAGTTTCTTTAGAAGAGAGTTTCATTTCATCACCCCACTAAGTCTGCACTAGTGCTCAGACACTCAATGACCACCCCCCTTATTGGGACTCACTGAGTTTCTCAACCTCGCCGCTGTGGGCGTATGAGACTTAGCAGCTTTCCTGGGCCCCACCTTGAAGGCCTTGACTCCTTCAAGTCATGAAAACCAAAAAAACGTCCCCAGGTTTCCAAATGTCCCTAGGGGCCAAAACTGCCCCCAGTGAGAATTCCTGCTCTACAGGCTGGGGGATGGAGGGAGGAAGGAGGAAGGTCTGGAGAGAGAGTAAGGAGGAGACTAAAGCTGTCCCGGTGGAGGCCAGACACCTCCTGGACTGCCTGTAAGCTCAGCCTCCTGTGGGGACTCAGGCTGCCTCATAGAGGTCACCAGCCTCCGTTCCCCACAAGGCACCAGTGGGTGCGTTCACTGTGTTGGTCATGGGCAAAGTGGGCTGAAAGCCTCTCCCAGGCATGAGCCCCTCTGCTGGCCTTTCTCGCTGAGTGCTTGTGGGGTTGTTTATTATCTCAAGACATCCCATGATGATGTGTGCCCAGCAGATGGTGCCCCAGAGGACATAACTTGGCTGAGTGCACAGTGGGGGCCTGTTCTAAGGACCCCTTGACTGCCGTAACAAAGGACTACACACTAAGTGCTTAAAACAATACAAATTTATTTATTTATCTAATTTGTTTTGAGAGATGGGGTCTTGCTCTGTAGCCCAGGCTGGACCCTCATCAGAGCCCACTGAAACCTCCAACTCCTGGGTTCAAGTGATCCTCCTGCCTCAGCCTCCCTAGTAGCTGGGACTACAGGCGCATACTACCATGCCTTGCTAACTTTTAAATTTTTTGTAGAGGCAGGGTCTCCTTCATTGACCAGGCTGGTCTTGAACTCCTGGCCTCAAGCAATCTTCCTGCCTCAGCCTCCCAGGGTGCTAGGTGTGAGCCCCTGTACCTGGTCAAAACAACATAAATTTATTCTCACAGTTCTAGAAGCCAGAACTCCAAAATCAAGGTGTTGTTAGGACCAACTCCCTTCCTTCCTGCCTCTTCCAGCCTCTGAGGGCTCCAGCCATTCCTTAGCTTGTGGCCACATCACTCCAGGCTCTTCTCCCATCCTCACACCACCTGTGCTGTGTATTCTCTTTTATAAGGACACCAGTCCTATTCAGGGACACCCCAATCCGCTATGGCTTACACCTGCAGAGACCCTGTCACGTGCACAGATACCAGGGGTTAGGACTTGAACATACCTTTTTAGAGGACACATTTCAACTCACAGCAAGATGGGATGCCACCCTGGAGTCTCCCAGAGTAGAGTGGCTTGGATGGGGCAGGCCAGAGCCCAGAGGTTGGAGGTTATAGCTGGGAGGTGGGGTATGGTCAGGGAAATGATGGGCACTGACCGCGGCCTGGTCTCCCTCACTGCAGGGCCAAGCGTGTGCACAGGATCCCCTGTGGGGGCTCATCAAAATGCAGGCTCTGACTTGGCAGCGCTGGTGGGGACTCAGCACCCAGGGTGCTCCTGGACCCCATAAGCCAGCAGAAGCACCCCTAGGGAAAGGTCTCTCGTGTTCACATAAGCCCCTGAGTCATTGTCCACGGCCCCAGATAGAGACCCCTGTACTGGCTACTGTGAGCCTAGGGGAGGGCAGAGCGATAGGTGCCCATGATGCCTTCTAGATGCCTTGAAGAGAGACCTGTGGGGTCAAAAAAGGCTTTGACCTTTGATCTATAAGATGCCTTCAAGGTCATTTCACATCAGGGGTCGGAGACCCCTAGGATGGCACTGCAAGACAAGAAAGGCAGGAAGAAGGGGGGCCTTGGAGCAGAAGCCCCTCTCTCCCTTTCTTCCTCCTCCCTCTGTCTCTGTCTCTCCCCCCTTCCCGTTCCCTCTCTTTCTCTCTGTCTCTTTCTTTATTCCCTCTCTCTCTCCCTCTCTCTTCCCTTTGGCAGCCACGGGGTCAGCTTCCAGGATTCACATTAAAGGGATAAGAGAAATTTGTGGCCAACATGTTTTCTTGCAGCTGAACCCATTAGCATTTTTGAAGTCCAGCCTCAAAGCCTGCTGGATGTTATTTATGTCTGTGGGGTCATTGCTGAGAACGCCACACACTGAAAAATCCTGGCTGTGTGTGCTGGGGGACCGGGGAGCCAAGGCCCACAATGCCCCG